ACCCCCCCCCCCAAGTGCACAAATTTTTGTGCACCGGGCCTCTAGTCTATATATATAAAAGGCTAAGTGACTGACCACCTGACCAACTGTCCGACTGACCGGCAATGATGTGCACTGGCAATTTAAAAATAAATGTTGATTTGCGCATGCGCAATACATATAAAACTCCCATTGAATTTCTTTTAATAGTATTACTCCTTCGGGAATGCCATGTCATAAATTAAAATTGAAAGTTGGTGCAATCATCATGCTACTGAGAAATCTTAAGGATAAATGGGGTCTTTAAAATGGTACTAGATTTATTATCAAAAGATTGCAACCTAACATAATCGAAGCTGAAGTATTAACAGGATCTGCGAAAGGAGGGCTTGTTCTGATTCCAAGAATTGATTTGTCCCCATCTGACACTGGCCTCCCATTTAAACTAATTGAAAGACAGTTTTCTGTAATGCCTGCATTTGTTATGACTATTAATAAATCACAAGGACAAACTCTAGACAGTGTTTCCTACCTGAACCCGTTTTTGGACATGGTCAGTTATATGTTGCTTTCTCTCGAGTTCAAAGAGCGTGTGACATTAAAGTTAAAGTTGTAAATACTTCATCATAAGGGAAATTGGTCAAGCACTCTGAAAGTGTTTTTACTCTTAATGTGGTATACAGGGAGATATTAGAATAGGTTTAATCAATTTATCAGTAATTGTTTTTATCAATGTTGTTTTTATGTCATGCTTTCGTTGTTTTTATATCATGTTTTGGTGTTGTTATATTATGTCTTTGTTGTTATTACATCATTTTCATATTATTTATTTATTAATCAATTTATATATTATTTTCATACTAGAGGCATGATGAACAAGATTTGTGCACTGGAGGGAGGGTGGTCCCTCAGCCCAGCCTGCACCCTCTCGCAGCCCGGGACCCCTCGCTCCTTACCACCCACCTACAGAGGAGACGGGAGAGGCTCCTGCCACCACCGCTGCGCTTGCCAGCTGTGAGCCTAGCTTCTGAGGAGCACTCTCCCTGTGGGAGCACACTGACCACCAGGGGGCAGCTCCAGCATTGAGCATCTGCCCCCTGGTGGTCAGTCCACATCATAGAAACCAGTCATTCTGCCATTTGGGTTATTTGCATATTAGCCTTTTATTATATAGGATACATTTTGCTAATTTTCTTTCATCTCTGACACTTCTATTATACAGAAAGGGTGAATAGTGATATTAAAATATTTCTTCTAATTAATTTCCTTTCAATGTGCACAAATCCATGCACTAGGCCACTAATATGCATATAAGTTCTTTGGCTAATTTCTTCCCTTCTCCCTTTCCCTCTCCCTCTGAGATTTGTCACTCTTGTTTCATGTATCCATGCCTCTGATTCTATTTTATTCATCAGTTTAATGTACTCTAGATTCCACATATAAGTGATATCATGTAATATTTGTCTTTCTCTGACTGGCTTGTTTTGCTTAGCATAACAACCTTTGGGTTACTCCATGCTATCTCAAAGGGTAAGAGATCCTTCCTTTTTTACAGCTATATAGTATTCCATTGTATATTTGTACTACAGGTGTTTTTTTTAATTTATTTTATTCTTGAGAGTATTACAGATATCTCTCATTTCCCCCTTTTGTCCCCCTCTACCCATCCCCCACCCCATCCCAGACCTTCACTATCTATTGTCTGTGTCCATGGGCTAGGCATATATACATGTAAGTTCTTTGGTTAATCTCTTCCCACCCTCCCTTCCCCCTTCCCTCTGAGATTCATCACAGTCTGTTCCATGTATCCATGCCTCTAGTTCTATTTTATTCATCACTTTATTGTGTTCATTAGATTTCATATATGAGTGAGATCATGTAATACTTACCATTCTCTGGCTTATTTAGTTTAGCATAATACTCTCCAGGTCCATCCATGTTATTGCAAATGGTAAGAGTTTTTTCATTTTTACATAAAACCTA